CCCTAGCCTGGAGCTGAGCCTGGCGCGGACCCGACCGGGAAGGCCGTGGGAGCCCGGGGGAGGGGGGCGGACTGATCCCGAAGGGGCGCAGCGTCTCTTTCGGGTCGCGGTTGGCCTTTGGACCCTGCGGGGACACAGTCCTGGTTTTCTGAGCCGCGGTGCGGACCACAGCCCCTTAGTGTGAGCCCCAGGGGGGACCCCCGGTCCCCTCCGCCCCAGCCCTCTTGGAGGCCCGGCAGCCTCCGTCTCTGGACTCCACTCTGTCTTCCAGCCACCGGCCCCTTTCCCAGGCTCGGTAGAGACCTCTAATCTTTTCTGAATGGCAGGGGACACCCCCATCCCCTTTTCCTGAATTCCAGCGGGGCCCAGTCCTCCTCTGAGCTCCAGCCGGGCTCTGCTCTTCTCCTTCTGTGGATGCCGGGGTCCCACCGCCTCTCTGAGACCAGGAGGGAATTCCGACCTCCCCTTAGGAGCTTCCCGGGACCCCAGGTCTTCCTTTTCCGAATCCCAGAGGGTCCCCAAGTCCTCTCTTCTCAAACTCTGAGCCCAAGGGTACCCCGGCCACATCTCCTCCAAACACACAGAGGACTCCAGGTCCCTTCCTGAGTACCCCAAAGTCTTAGCCCTACTGGGGTGCTCAGATCTCTCAGGAAAACCGGTTTCCCTTTTGTCAGCCCCCCAGCGGGGACGCCAAAGCAGCGCCTCGGAGCTGCAGGGAGCTTCAGCGGACACCAGTTCTCATTCCTCTGGAGTTCTTGGGGGGGACCCCCTCCTGGGAACCCAGATTCTATCTCTAAGCCTCAGGGCGGGGGCCTTGCTTTTCCTCTGGGCCCCATCCTCTTTGCCAAGTTCTTGAGGGCAACCTAGACCCTCCTCTGAACCCCAGAGGCTTCCCCAGCCCCGGGGATCTTTTTTTTCTCTCTGAACCCCAGAAGCAATCTCGACTTTCCCATTTGAGGTTCCAGAGAGGACTCCCCTCTTTCATACCCAGGGGAAACTGAGTCCCTCACCCCCTTTGAGACCCCAGGCCGCTCCTCGCTTCCGCCCCTCGAGGCCCCTCCTCGGCTCTGCCTCCTCCCTCTTCTCCACCCCACCGGCCATAAGATGATGATGTGGTCCAACTTCTTCCTGCAAGAGGAGAACCGGCGGCGGGGGGCCGCGGGCCGGCGGCGGGCGCACGGGCAGTGCAGGTCGGGGCTGACGCCTGAGCGCGAGGGGAAGGTGAAGCTGGCGCTGCTGCTGGCCGCCGTGGGCGCCACGCTGGCGGTGCTGTCCGTGGGCACCGAGTTCTGGGTGGAGCTCAACACCTACAAGGCCAACGGCAGCGCCGTGTGCGAAGCGGCCCACCTGGGGCTGTGGAAGGTGTGCACCAAGCGGCTGTGGCAGGCGGACGTGCCCGCGGACAGGGACACCTGCGGCCCCGCGGAGCTGCCCGGAGGTGAGCAGCCGCCGCCCCGAGCCCAGGGCTTGCGTCCCGTGGACAGGGAGGGAGAGGGGCCCGTGTCCGTGGAGAAAACCCGCCCCAGGGACGAAAGCCTGAGCCCGGAGGAGAGAGCTTGTATCCCTGTGAGCGCCCGTGCCCACATCGTCCTCTGCTCCCGGAAACTGCTGAGAGAGATCCCCCAGACATGGCCTAGGTCCCTCACTGGCCTACCCCCAGAGAACCTGTGCCTTAGAGCTTGCTTTCCTGCTACAGACTGTACCCCAAGACCAGAATGTACCTCCAAGGAGTCTATGCCCCCAGGCCATCCTGTACCCCCAGACCAGGCTGTGACCTGAGACCCCCCAGATGAGACTGTACCCCTATTCTACGCCTCTAAAGAGAGCCTGTGTCCCTGCCTACAGCCTGTGCCCCAAGACCATCCTGTACCCCGACTATCCTATACCCCCAGATCAGCCTGGGTCTCCAGCTACAGTTTCCACCCCAGACTAACATGCACCCCTAGACCAGTCTATACCCCGAGACCAGCCTGCATCCTTACACCAGCCTGTGCTCTCAGATCAGCCTGCACCTCCACACCAGGCTATGGTCCCAGATCATTCTACGACCCCCAAAGCCCCTGACCCCACACAGCCAATGTTCTTAGGCATCGCTGGGTCCCCCCAGACCAGCCTATAGCTCCAGAGAGAGCCTGTGTCCCTAGAAAAACCTTGCCTGTGTCCCCAGACCCAGCCTGTGATCCAGACACAGCTGGTGTCCTCAGACAGCCTGTGCCCACCCCAGCCTGCACCCTCTGCAAATGCCTGCGCCCTGGAGACAGCCTGTGCCCACTCTGCATTGCCCACAGACAGCCTGTGCCCATGGAGAGACAGCCTGGGTTTCTGGTGTCAGCTTCCTCTTCCCAGCCTGGAGACAGCTTGCGCTCCCATCCTATGAGCCCTGGGGAGACAGACGCCCACCCCAAAGCAGGATCTATGCCTGTTCCCCACCTACTGCTTCCATCAAACCAAGCTCTCAGCAGACACCTCCCAACACCCAAGGGCAGACCTTGTTCCTTCCCTGCAATGTTCTTCACTTCCTGTCCTCTCGCCTCCAAATTTCCAGATTGGACATTTCAGCGTTTCTCATTTTCTCCGAGACACACTCCCATACTCCCTCCTTTCCCAAATCATGGCTGTTTTATCCCTGGACATGGCAGGGAGCTGTCCCATACCTTCCTGACACGACAGGCCACGGCTTGTACTTATACCAGGGGGACATTCTATACCCCTGGGGAACTGGATGAAATCTCGTTCTACCTCCACTGACCCGTGGAAAATACCTGGCGCTCCTCAGAGTCTGTTTGGGCTGTCATATATTTGATCACCCATATGAGATCTCCAACACTCTTCAGTCTCCAAAGAAGGTGCTGTCTTCCCAGTGCCCCTCAAAGAATATGGCCTATTTTTCTGTGCGCCATTTGAGATTTCTCTTGTCCCTTACTTCTCCAGATGTGATACCTTTTATGTGTAGAGTGCAAAATAGGATGTCCCAAGCCCTCGATAGGACATGGGGATGCCTGTCTGAGCTACCCACGTGGTGTCCAGATGGGCTACCCTTAATCATTTTATTTCTGCAGATGGGCTATCCCTGGCCCCTCGGGGTCTCATCAAGGATGATCCCAAACTTTTGCAAAATGGGAGGCCCCAGTAATAAGAATATTAGATGCTGATGTAATGCCTGGTTCTGATCTCAGTGTTTTATGTACATTAACTCATTAAGCGTCATAGCTAGCCTATGAGTCGTTATTAGCACTTTTATTCTAGGGAAGAGAAAAATGAGGAGCCAGAAATCTCGGTGGCTCAGTCTATGCACCCAGGCTGGTCAGATGGAATTTGAAGCTCGGTTGCCTCTCTTCTCAACAACTGCATTACATCACATCTCACTAGTCCAGCAAGAAATCCCAGAGGTCATGGGGCAATGGAGGGGGTGACCCATCCCTTCTCACCACACTGTCTGGGGTTCCTCACATCCCTCGCCGTCCCCTCCATTGATCAGAAAGGACATCAGTCTTCTAACAGGGCCATTAACATCATCTCATAAACCCAACCCCTCAGAGGACATCTCACAATCTTCATTATCTCAGAGAAAAATCTCACACTTACCACTGCCCATCAAAAGCCATCCCCAGCTCCGCTGGCTGCAAGTGCAAAATGTGGGGGCGACCCTTCCCCTGTGCTTTTCCAGATGGTATATGTCATAGTTTGGAGTAGTCAAGAGTCGGGATGTTCTAAACTATTCATAGCCAAAAGAGGATGCCAGGCACCCTACATTGTCCCAGAAGGGCCATCACACTTCCCTTGTGGATGTAGACCACCATGTTCCCTGCAATGACTGCTTCAGAGAGCACCTGCACCCTTTGCTCAGTGACGGGAAGCATCCTTTACCTTTTTTTTTTTTTTTTTTTGAGATGGAGTTTTGCTCTTGTTGCCCCGGCTGGAGTGCAATGGCGCAATCTCGGCTCACTGCAACCTCTGCCTCCCAGGTTCAAGCAATTCTCCTGCCTCCGTCTCCCAAGTAGCTGAGATTACAGGCGTGTGCCACAACATCCGGCTAATTTTTGTATTCTTAGTAGAGACGGGGTTTCACCATGTTGACCAGGCTGGTCTTGAACTCCTGACCTCAGGTGATCCGCCCACCTTGGCCTCCCAAAGTGCTGGAATTACAGGCGTGAGCCACCGCGCCCAGCCCAGCATCCTTTACCTCATGCTGCTGCGTAAGAACTCACACGTCCCACTCCTCCTAGCTGGACATCTCACCCCTTCTCCTCCCCTCAGGGTACTTGGGGAGCTCCCACACGACCTCACCTGATGCAGGAATTGATTTCTTGTCCCTTCATATCCTTGTTCAAATTGAAAAGTTCATTTTTTCATGTTCATGGACTGCCTGGTCCCTCTTCTATGGCCTTTACTCCTATTATTCTCGACGTCTCTTCTCCCTTTCTGTGCCTCAGTTTTCCCATCTATAGAATAAGAGAGTAGGTCAGACTAGGTGAATTCTGAGAGAATTTCTAGGTCTAAAATGCACTTTAGAAAGTGCTCCCCTCCCTTCCTTTCTTCATTTCTCCTTTCTTCTCTCCCTTTCTTCCTTTTTCTGTCTTTTTTAACTTAAAATTTCTCTCTTTTTTTTTTTGGAGATGTAGTCTTGCTCTGTCACCCACGTTGGATTGCAGTGGTGCCATCTCGGCTCACTACAACCTCCGCCTCCTGGGTTCAAGCGATTCTTCTGCCTCAACCTCCTGAGTAGCTGGGATTACAGGTGCACGCCACTACGCCCGGCTAATTTTTGTACTTTTAGTGGAGATGGGGTTTCACCATGTTGACCAGGCTGGTCTCGAACTCCTGACCTCAAGAGATCTGCCTGTCTTGGCCTCCCAATGCGTTGGGATTGCAGGCATGAACCATCGCGCCCGGCCCTGTGCTTTGTATTATATTATTTTTTTCCTCATTGTTTTCCAGCTCATCTCTTTAATGTGTGTGATATACACTCATAGATATGTATTTTGATTTGGGAAATATATAGTATTAGCTTATATGTGTGTTTTACATAAATGAGATCATGCTATTGATTTTGTCTGATCTTTGGGATTTTTTTTTATTTTTTTTTAGATGGGATCTCACTCTATCGCCCAGACTGGAGTGCAGTGGTACAGTCTTGGCTCACTGCAACCTCTGCCTCCCAGGCTGAAGAGATCCTCCTACCTCAGCCTCCTGAGTAGCTGGGATTACAGGTGTGTGCTGCCACACCGAGCCAATTATTTTTATTTTTGGTACTGATGGGGTTTCACCGTGTTGGCCAGGCTGGTCTCGAACTCCTGAGCTCAAGTGATTCTCCTGCCTCGGCCTCCCAAAGTCCAGGGATTACAGGTGTGAGCCATCTTGCCTGGCCTCAATTTTTGGCTTTTTAAATTAAATTATTAGTATTAATTATTATTGTTGTTTTGGTCGACACTGTTTCTCAAAATCTCCCCATCTTGCTGTAGGTTATTCTAGTTCATGGCTATGTATACTGGAGAGATTTTCACAAGGAACATTTACTTGTCTGTTCCCCTATTCGATGGTCACCTGGCTTGATTCTGACTCCATGTTACTTATAAACAGTGCTGCTGTAAACATCTGCATATATGTTCCTGTCTGTTTGGTTTTTTTTTTTTTCCTGGAGGTGTATCCTGCAATGAGATTGTTGAGCCACAGGCTATGAACATTCTTCATTTCATAAAGTACCTCAGAGTGCCTTCCCAAAAGACTAGGAGTACCCGTTCATACATGGTGTTTCCTCTTATCTTTTCAAATGCTTGATACGACCCTTTTAATGTTGGCCAATCTAATTGACGGAAAGTGGTGGCTCCCTGCTGATTCCAGCTGCCTCGCTCTGATCCCTGGTGAAGTGGGGCATCTCTTCACGGACTTGTGAGTTACCCAGGCTTCCTCTTCTGTGAATTACTATTCATACCCTCGGCCCATTGGTCAATTGGGTTCTCCCTCTCTTCTTGCTAATCCGCGGGAGCCCTTTGTGTGTTCTAGGTAGGAATCCTTCCTGAAACAGGAATCCTTTCTGAGTCTGTTAGCCTTCTGCTACTTGTATCTCGGTATCCTTTGCTGAATTAAGTAATTGTTCATATGTAATCCCACTTGACCCTCAACAAACCCACACGAAGGGGCCAGGAAAGAGATTATTATCTCGTTTTAAAGAGGAAGAACTAGAGGCCCAGAGAGGCTAATGGCGCCCTCGGGGACACAGGTCTGGGGCTCAGAGCCCTAGGTAGGAGTCCCAGCTCCTGGATGGCGCTGTGGTCGCAGGTGGCTTGCACACCTCTGGGCGTCATTTTTCTCCTCTGTGTATCAGGGATGCTGACGTCCAAGTTTTAGGCTCCCGTGGGCTGTGTGAAGTGTCCAGCCCTGAGTTTACACAAAGGACCTCACATCCTCATGTCTTTTTTCTCTCTCCTGCTTCCACAGAAGCAAACTGCACCTATTTTAAATTCTTCACCACGGGGGAGAATGCACGCATCTTTCAGAGAACCACAAAGAAAGGTGAGAACTTTTCATCCCCTGGTGGGTGACAGGTGGGGGAAATGCTGAGCATGCTGGAGGAGGTCTAGATAGAATTATCCCCTCCTCTGCTTTACCCCAGGGCGGGCCTTGTATCTATAATCTGTGGCTGTCTCCTGGGGAGTGCTGGCAGGAGAGTTAATGATGGGGACATGGTGCTCTAAAGAATCTAGA